TCACCTGTCACTGACCGCTCAGAAGCACGTTCCTGACGCTTTCTACCCTTTTGAGTGATCTCCCTTTTCGAAGGAATTGCCGTTCCTTTACTTCTCTGGCCCTTTTGGACTCTGTCTGTCGAAGTCTGGGGCCCACATCTGAGGATGTCCAACAGTACGCCCTCCCCGCATCCCACGTTCCACTGTGTAAACTGCGATGGTGCCTCTGATGGTGATGAAGTTCTCTGCAAGAAGGCTGCAGACACCATCCATCCTGGCACCTCTGATTTTATTCCCTGTGGCCAAATTTTCTTTTCTTTTTTACAGAGGAAAGGAGAAGAAAGAGGATGGAGGGGCAGGGCGGGGATGGAGAAATAAATTAAAAGGATTGGCAGCACCTAACGTCCCCTGTCCAGAACTTTGTGTTGTTTTAAGCCAATCGCCAGTAGCTGAACCTTCGGGAATGGGAACTTTCTTCTCCCCAGGAGGAGAGTGAGGGAAAGCCAGCAAGAGGAAGAGAAAATGAAGACAACATACATGCCAGCCTACGTCACAGTCCTACTCCGACATTCTCCTCTTGGCTTCCCTCCTCTTCATCTCCAATATGGTTGTTCCCAGACCACTGTAGGAAGGGGTGGGCTGGGGTCCCACAGCTCTGCTCACAAATGCTCTGAGGCCCGTGGGTCACACCACACTTATGGACACAGTCACTACTTACTTGATAGCCCAGTGCTGTTGATGTTTTGGTATTCAGCGTAAAAAACTGCCTTTTCAAGCATTCCCAGGAAAATGACAGCTGCAATCCAGAACTGGATTCTTAATATATCTTTCCAGTAACAGGCAGACCACAGCAGCCAGAGGACACCATATAAAATATACACAATACACATCACCATGTAGAACTGTGGGGAGAGAAGCAATTTTAATCAGTAACGCCTTCTGATCATTTGGAAAGTGACATTTCTACATTCAGGTTTGCAATCCTTTATTTTCCAGTCACCGTGGAACCAGAAATAGGGGGTACGTCAAAACGTTAGTTACTAAGGAATTACCACCACTGAGCTCTTAAAATGTTTTAACTTTCCAATTAGAATATAAAATTCATTTTTTAAAAAAGGAACAAAACGATGAGAGATACTCACAATCATTAGAGGCCAATCCGATGCAGAGATATATCCATGAGGCCCCATCATAGAAAGAGAAACTAGCGAAAAGTAGGGTGGGGGCAAAGAAACGAAGGAGTTAAATGAACAATTAGTTTTTCTTAAGGTTTTAAACTTAAGCACATCTTAAAGCTCCAAGAATCCAAACCAAGTTAACAGTGGATGAATTCCCCCCTAGCGCACACAAAGTACCGGGTGATTACCCGGTGTGGGATTATGTAACCTAACAAGACGCCTTTACTTGTATACACGCTGTTGTAAAACGTGGGCCAAATCGGATCTTAGGCAGCCAGCAAAGTAGCCCTGGCCTTAGACTGGCCCTTGCTGAGTCACTGACCTCGCGGAGGACTTTGTCTTGCTTCATGTAACTTGGATACATTTCTGCACTCCAGGATCTAGTTTGGTTTGTGGTCCGAGAGAGCAGGAATAAGGAGTGGCAGAAGGCACCGGGTCCGGCCCCTGTTTGGCACGGCCTGGCCCGGGATGGCACCTCCGGGAGGAAGCCCTGCTTCACACTCCCCCAGAGCAGCCAGCTCCACAAGCTTCCCGCGGGGAAGCCCAGCTCAGGGCCTCCTCTGCAGCCACGCCTGACTCGCCCCATTGCTTCCTCCCGCCCCACCGGACTGGGTGCCCCTCAGGGACAGAGCCTGGCTTCAGTCATTCTGTGTCCCTCATTTGCAAATCCCCAGGATCCTCAAATGCTGTTTGGCCACTGTCAGCCCAGCAGACGCCCACCCTAGAAGACAACAGCCAAGGCAATTCTCAGACATGTAAAAGCGCTCACTCCCTTGAAAACTGCATAGTGTGAGCGCGGGCTCACCCGCCTGCTGGGACCCACAGCCCAATGAAGCAAAGAGGGTCTGCCTGAGGGCAGGCGGGGGAGCTCACAGACCACAGAAGCCACACTTGCCAGCAACGCGACTTTACTCTCAGGCTACAAACGGAGTTTCTTTTTTTAAAAATTTTTTTTTAAAGAACAAAAATTTTAAGCCCCTGATAATGGCCATTTTCAATAAATAGAATATGATCTCCTTCAAATACAATTAAGGTGTTGCCTACCTATTTCTGTGTGTTAAAAAAAATTTGTTTTTAATCTAGAAGGATGAAGAATTATATATCCCTCTATGAAGTTAGACATCTAAAGAATTTAACTTAAATTACTTTTAAATTTCTATTCCATTAAAAAAAATTAGAGTTAAGATAAGCATAAAGTTTTAAGTGTCCCAAACAGATTCATTTTCATGATTACCAGAAATTCATTTTTGAATGATGTGTCTTAACAGAGAATACAGATTTGGATCAATGACGAAAATACAGAATATAGTAAAAGCGGACGATAAACATGCATGCAGTTGAACTATACCATTCAAATTCCAGTCTGCATCTGTTTTTTCTGTCTTAATTGAAACAATAAAGATATGAAACCCATCTCTCTGTGTTTTGGCTACAACATCCTGAAACAGAAAAAAAAAATCCTTTGTTATTTTTAAAGATTGCTATGTAAGACACAGCTAAACAGTTATTCACCACATTCTAAAGCAACTTTTAAGAATTGAATTGAGGTACTTAAAACACACACACACACACACACAAAGACAAAAGGAGTGGTGGGCTGTGGGAGGACAGTGGGCCGTGAAAGGATTTCTTTAATTTTTTTTTTTTAATCACCATCCTCCCAAACCCAAAGGGATGTAGGTGGAAAAAAGCTTTTTCCACCCTCCAATGTTTTCTTTGTTTTGTTTATTTTTGCTTGTTTTTGTTTGTTTGGGGAGGCAATTAGGTTTATTTGTGTCTTTTTAATGGAGGTACTGTGGATGGAACCCAGAACCTCACGCATGCTAGGCGTGCAGTCTACCACTGAGCCATACCCTCCCCCCGGAATGTTTTCTACTTTTTATATTTCTACAGGTTTCCTCCTAATGTGACCATTCAAATGGTTTTTCTAATATTACTCTTCCCACGTTTTATCCTCATGTCATCAAGCATTCAGGTTTTGAATTCTTTTTAATTGAACGGGGGAGAAAGATATCAGATAGCATTGTTAGAAATGACTCAGATTCAGTATGCAGGCTAAATTGTTTAAATTCCTTAAAGGCACTATGTTAACGGCAATCCCACTGAGGGCTGATACTGCCCACTGGAATGCCAGTGAACCCTCCCGTGCCTCCACGTAATGGGGCCAGACTCTTGACGTTACTCCTTCCTGAGTATTTCCTATCCTTCCCTCCATATCCTGCTCCTCCACCTGAGACGGAGTTTGTGCAAAGCAAAAAGTTGCTCTTGTCTCTGCAAAGTGAATGCCTTTCCGCTACCAGGCTACTCTGTCAGATGCTGAAGGAAACAAGAAACGGGGAGAGTCACCGTATAAAAGCAAACATCAAGCTCCCCCAAATCTGCTTTCAGTCCCTACACACCACTCCTTGGAACCTTCTCAGCCTCTTAGTCTTCTGATTTTCAGTAATTCCCCAAAATACCTAATCTCCATCCCCCCTCATGCTGCATCAAGGTTTCTGTTCCATAACGATGAAGCATACTGGCCCATTGCTTTCAAAAGTGGAATTCTATTTTTTAAAGAAAGACTCATAGAAGTTAACCTTAAATCACAACTTCAAAGAGATTTTTAAACAAAGACAGAGACAAGTATGTATGTTTTAAACAATGCTTCTTTTTCTTTCCTAATTCTACTAACCCTCCTTTATAACACTCTCCATCAGCAGATTCTTCTGTCTTACTACAACTTGTATATATTTTATTTAAAGACAAATAAAAAGACTTACCGTTGACCCTTCCCGGCTTGAAACATTTCTGGTATTTGTTATTAGTTCTTTATTCTGGAAAAAAAGAATAGAGTAATTCCATTTTATATTGCTGCATTTCCATAAGAAAAAGATAGTTTAAAGATAAAGATAATAAACGTGTTATGAGAAAAGTAAAGATTTGAAAGCTGAACACCAGAGAACAAACTTCATTGCAGCCCAAACATGACAAAATCCTACTTTTGAAAAATTACTTCCTTAATTACAGCAGTGATTACCACTGGAGGGGAGGGAACTGCGAACTCAAAGAGGGTTTGAGGTGCTCAAATGCACTGTACTCGATCTGGGTCTACATGGGTGGGTTCAGAGTGTGAAAATTCATCAAACTCTATGCTTCTGATACACACATTTTACTGTAGGTTTATTACACCTCAACAAAATTTTTTACACAACCTTTTAAAAATGTTTATTAAAGACATTTTCATTTTAGAATGTACAGAAAACAAAAAATCAGTTAAAATGACCTGCAGCCTCACTGCCCAAGCATGACTGCTGTTAACATTTTGGAATCTAGTCTTCTAGGCTAGGAGAACAAAAGTGTAAAAAAGGAGGGTGCTCAAGCGTGTTAAGTGCTGGTAGGTCCAAGATGCTGACAGAGCTTCAGTAAGAGGAACAGACCCCGAGATCTAACAGCATTGACGGCCTGTGACCTTGACTACAGCTGCTTTGAGGGAATTGTGGGGGCAAAGGTTCGACTCGGGTGGGCAGAAGAGAGGTGAGAGATGGCGTGACAGCAGACCATGGAAGGATGGTAAAAGGATCCCCTCTCAAGGAGGCTGCTGCAAAGAGGTGTAAAGAAAAGGAACAATGGTGCTGACATCTTTCTTATGATGACTGCAACACACACAGAAGAACTGATGTTAAAAATTAACAACTTAAGCACCTTCCTTTATCAAAATACTGACAAAATATAATTAAACTTGATGCTTCTATCCACTGGAGAAAAATAAATTCTATTTCAACATGGCGAGACGAGTACTCACATTCAATGAGGGAAACACCTCTAAGTCGCTGTTGCAATCTAGGTTTTCAGTTTTTGTTGTCCAACATTCCGTGTTCTTGAAATAATGACCACAAAAGTCTTCATCAGCATTAAGTTTATGTTTCTGTGACAGCTCCTACCCAAGGTAAAATTATTTGTTATCATTTATTTCCATAATTTATTTCTACTTAATATCTAAATAACAACAGAAATTTATTTCAGTTTGGGACACTTGGAAACGTGTGGTAGAACAAAATACAGAAAGGAAAAAAGCTTTGAACATAATTTTAAGTACAGCTGAGGTAATCATTAATATTTTAGCCACTTCAATGTGCTCAGATACAGTAACACATAATATAAGCATTCTCTTGCAGTAAGAAAAATGATTAAGATGTTACTATGAGGAAACGGTAAACAGAGAAATAAAAAATATTTTGTCCTAGGACTGCTTCCATTTTATCCCACATATAAAAGATTTTACAGAGAAAGAAACCAGCATTTAACTCAAGGAAAGATAAATCAAACACTTAGTAACATAAAGCAAAGGCGGCAAACCCAGCTGGTAAAGGGAAGACACTCATTCACATCAACTAACAGTGAGGTTCTTGGCTCCTAGATGGATGATTAAAACCATGCTTCTAATAGTAGCTCCTAGTCATCAAGGAAAGGTTAAGAGGCTTCCACTGGCCAAATATCGGACAATTTATGCAAAATACATAGAAATAGGAAGATTATCATCACACAACAAAGTAAAAATCAATGACTCCATATTGATAATTGATTGACTGATTGACAGATAAGACAGGGAAGAAGAGAGCCCTCATCCTCACAGCAGAATGCTAACAAATGTAGACAAAAACACGGAATTAGGAAATCACCATTTAACAATCATAGAAATAACTCATTAGGCAAGAAATCAAAGAATGTTAAAACAAGGACTGATAATAAAACAGGACATTTCCATACAAATATAAACGCATTTCTTCACAAATTATCGTTCATAATAACAAAGAGAAAAGTAGTAGTTTCACAGTGGAGAAACGTGGCAGAAATTTCCTTAACCAACTGATCAAAGTGAACATCACCAAAAATGGAACAAAATGGTATTTTCTGGTATGCCTGCCAAAAATGTAACCTGAATTTAGTTCTGAGGAAATGTGAGAAATACTCAAATTAAGGTATATTTTGTAAAAATAAATGGCTTGTACACTTCAAACATACCAATGTTGTATCGCAAGCCATCCCCTACCCACCCCCACCTCCAAAAAAAAAAAAAAACCCGCAGAAATGCAATGTGATCCTGGATTGGATCTGGTTCCAGAAAAAGAAAAGGGGGAAAAAAAGCTGCTAAAAGGGATGTTGTTGGGACACTGGTAAAACGTGCATAAGGTCTGTGTATTAGATAACAGTATTGTCATCCATGTTAAATTTCCTGACTCTGACAACTGTGCTGTGGATTCTAGGTGAGGAGCTTCGTTCTCAGGAAATGCACACGGAGCCGAGCCCAGCCTGTTTCCTCCTCTCACACTCCCCCTCTTCTTTCCCCGATGTCTCCCTTCCCCTCCTCAGCTCTTTCTCAAACCTACTTAAACTCACTAAATCTACTCCTGCTGACTCAAGTCCTAGGTGCCCTATTACTAATTTTTTGAAGGAAGTGAAACTTCTGCATTTCTTAAATGAAGTTGATTCTTATTTGTGTGTGACCCACAGTCCCTTTATCGATGGTTCTTACAAGCCTGATATAAACGTTTACGAACATTTTTCATAAGACGCAAGGAAACGAAAAGATCTGTATTCTCAGAAAGCACATACTTTGATACAATTAAAGCATTTATCGTCTTAAGACCCAAAATAAATCTGTGGCACTTCGAAAACCACAATCTCTATTTCTAGCCTCCTCACTTGGTGAGCTAATAGATCTTATAATTTTTCCTTCATAGCATTACATACATTAAAAAAAAAATCAGTTTTACTTACTTCTAGATCAGGATATTCATTGTGACAGGTATGGTACTCCAAATACCACTCTATGGTAAACTTCACAGGCCCCGAACAGCTGAATGACTTAACTATTTAGAAAAAGAAAGTCTCATTTAAATGAAAATATATATATATATATGTACATATACTCCAATGTAAACTTAAGGTTTCAAGAACGTAGTTTAAAATAGGCTACTTTAATGAAACAACAAGGAAAATATTATCTAATTCCCCCCAAAAGTCATTGCAAAGTGAGACAGATAAATTCATTAAATTAAATGATTACAGTTAACCAAAAATTGCTGGACCACTGTTCATTTCATCTATATGTTAAGTCAAGTATTGGTTCTAGAGTTTCCACTAGCCAGAGCGGGGAGGTCTCATTAAACACACCAAGCAGGAGAGACACAGAAAAGTCACATCCTATCAGTGGTGCTTAGTTAGTCCTAGAGTAAAGGCTACTCCCCATCCATCCTAAAAGAAATGAAAAACAAAACTGGACAAGATCAAACTGACCCAAAAGAAACTTAACTGTCTGCCAGAACAAAGCTGTTAAAGGACTACAACATCATAGTACTCAAGAATGTAAAATTCATGATATCCATCATCCAAACAAAAACACTAGGTATATAAAGCAGGAAAATTTGACTCATAACATGATATGAATCAGTCAATTTGACAAAGATGATGGAAATGACAAAGATGAGAGAATTAGCAGACAAGAATGTGAAAACAAACAAAACAAAAAGAATGCGAAAACAGCTATTAAATACTGATTGTGAAGCACAGAGAGGAAAGAGACTGAAAAAAAAAATTAACAGGGCCTCAGTGACCCGTGAGACAGTTATCAAGCAGTCTAACATATGCGTAAATGAGCCTCAGCAGGGGAGAGGAGGGGTGAAGAGAGAATGTCTCAGTCCGAGATCCAGGTAAGAGCTGAGATTGTTTTCAGTGTGGATACCCAGCTGTTCTAGCATCATTTGTTGAGAAGACTATCCTTTCTCTAATGAACTACCTTGGCACCTTTGTTGAAAATCAATTGACCTTATGTATGTGGCTTTATTTCTGGGCCCTCTAGTCTGTTTCACTGTTCTATGTGTCTGTCCTTATGACAGTCCCACACTGTTAGGATTATTGTAGTTTCTTGTTGAGTTAAAAAATCAGATAGTGAAAGCCCTCTAACTTTGTTCTTTTTAAAAATTCTTTTGGCTATTCTAGGTCCTCTGTAGTTACTTATAAGTTTTAGAAACAGTTAGTCAATTTCTATGTAAGTTTGCTTGGATTTTGATTGGGATGAACTGAATTTATATATCAGTCTAGGAAGAACTGATAGTATAATGTTAATCTATAGATTTTTCAGATGTCCTTTATCAGGTTGAGGAAGTTTCCTTCTATTTCTAGTTTTCTGAGTTTTCATCATGAATGGGTGTGGAGTTTTTTCAAGGGCTTTTTTGTATCTATTGAGATGGCTATTTGGTATATTTCTTTTATTCTGTTAATATGATGAACTACACCGAGAGATTTTCAACAGTGGCTCCACATGACTGCATCCTGAATGGGGCAGCTAAGAGGGGTCACCTAAGGGAAAGCCAGACAACTGATCCACCAAACAGCATGGACACATACCCCAGGGACCAAGGCTTAACTTTGCAGGCACTGAAATTTGGCTCTGTGAGAACACAGAGACTCAGTCACTCCTTTACCACACCACGGATGTAGACCTATAAACTGGAATGCCCAGTTACTTAAAATAAACAATAACTGTAAAGTTAAAGTATAATGATCAACTAACTCTCTCTTCCGCATGCCCTCCTGGATGCCCGTGTGATGAGAAGGCTGCTTGGTGAGTGTGGCAGCAGGACAACAAGGCTCCGCCGGGGACCGCATCCACCCCCGCCGGCCACATGTTAGAGCCGCAGCCACAGGTCAAGAAAGACCTCTTCTCCCATCAACACTGGGAGACTGCCAGCTTTTACCTGACTAAACCCTCATTTTTTAATTCTTTGGCTCCTAACTCCCTTCTGCTGCCTCATTCTTTCTTTCTTTAGATATGTTAATACCGCTGTCTTGATTGTGGTCTACTTTTAGGCTGATCTCAGACATTACATATTGACTTTTAAAAAATCAAATTCTGTCCTTCATTGGTCCATATAACTTCTTTCCCCCCACGTAAATTTATTTTTGGTCTGCACTGGTGTTTTAAATTTTATTTGTCTAGACATTGAGACATCAATTTATTAAAGCAATTAGATGCCCAATTGCTTTCCTCACCCACCGTGGGCTTCAATTTCCTCTTACCAGGCTCTTATCACCACTGATGATCTATGATATCACTGAGCTGCTTTGAACCGCCTCTGCTCTCCAGCTGATGGCCAGCCTACCTCCATCAGCAAAGACCACACATGATCAGAGGATGGTGTGGGAGGGAAAGGGGACCATGGCTGTGGATCCCACGAAGCCAATTTGCTCTACCGGACTACCGGACAAAAAACTATTCCTTATCCCAAAACCTTAACCCTGGCAACCAACTTACCTACTCAAGTTACTAGAAACACTAAGAGGAGTTAGAGCACAGTAAGTGATCCAATGTAAACCCATTAAAAATACTGAAAACCTCCAGATCTATGACTTGGCAGCCCTGACACATCAGAATTTATACAGACAACGCAGTCTCTAGCAAATATTTTCACTTTCATAAGGCCTAAAATCCTAATTAAATTGTTAGCGTCTAGGAATTTTTATTTCATACTATGATCATGTGTATTTTTAGAAAAATTTCAGGGGTACAAAGGTTTCATCACAATCATGGCATTTGACATATTAATAAAAGGAATTTATTCAGAGTCAAATTTCACAGAAGTCAAATACTTTTTCCTGAGAACTACTTTATTAGACTTTAACTATAATTTTTAAAGAATGATTCATATTACATTTTCTAAGACAGGATCCTGAGAAGGATCAGAAAAACCCCTTCTTGAAAATGACCAAGACTTGACGGGAACAAAAGAAACACTTAAAGAATGTTAGAACCACTTAAAAACAAAACATTTGCCTAGTTTACAATATAAAATATTATGTTATATTAGTTTGTAAAGTTAATGTATTAGTTTATAATATATTATATTACATGATATTACTCATTTATAATTTATCGTTATTTTAGTATTATACTAGTTTATTACACTTACCAGAAAACTTGATTTCCGTAGAGTTAAACATAGTTTTTCTAAATATCAAAGGTCCTGATTTCTAAAATGAAAAACAAAGAATTATAGAAAGATTCTGTCAAAAAATTTCTCTCTACTGTTTAAGAGTACAGTTTTATCGTGGAAAATATATCGTTCTAATCTTTTCACTCCTCCCTATGACCAGAGTGATTAGTTTTCAAACGTAAATCTGATCACATCACTAACTGGCTTAAAGCCTTGTCCCTCATGTCTACTCCCTGCAGTGGCCGTGAGGCGTCAGGGGCCAGCAGCGCACAGGAGGTAGGGGCTGCTCGGATAGAGGACCTGTCTGTGCACCTGCAGTTGCTCTCCTGGTATCAACATAAATACACTTTGTGGGTTTTTTTTTCCCTCCTTAACGTTGGCACTGGGGGGTTGAACCCTGGCCCTCGTCCTCGCCGAGAATGCGCTCTACCGCTCAGCCATACCCCTCCACCACAACATAAAGCCACTCTGGTTAAAACCACCAGCCCTCTGCCTATGTCGTTATGGCTTATCACTCCGTCCTTACAACAGACCAGTTCCCATTGCGGCTCGCCCTGCATAACCAAGGCCTGTCCACCTCTCTCGAGCTCTTATCTCAGTTCCTCAAAAACACCATAGTCCTTCCTGCCCGTAGAACCTGAGGTCAAGCTGGAAACTCACTTAAAAACCCTTCCCTATTGCTCTTTCTTCATCTAGTTATTTCTGTCTTACCCTTGAAAGCCTAGTTCAAAAGCCCCTACATTTGTTACTTATTTAATGCCTACCCTCACTAAAAATAAAAATCCTGTGAGATTTTTATTAAATGAACAAATGTTTAGGAATGAAAGAAAAACACTGATAGGACAAGCAGCTCTTTATCACCTCTTCCCTCTTCTCAACGCAGTTTCAACCACAATAAACAATAGAACTCCTAGCCCAGACCCCGCCTCTGAGCTGCACATCCACACACCCAGTTACCTAAAGGTCACACCCACTGGGAAGTCCAACAGACATTCCACACTCACCGGCAATAAACCAGATGCTGTCCCTTCTGCTCCCAAGCAACCCTCCCTGCACCGTCCACCTTGACTGTGGGGGATGCCATCCCCAGCCACCCAAGCCACGGCTCCTTCTGGTCCCTCACCTCCATCCCCCAGTTTCCATGGCACGCCTACTCTATCTCACAGACACTTCCCATTCTCTCCATTCCTGCCGCCACTGTCCTAATTCAGGCCCTTGACGTTTCCTGCTATGCTTCTGCAGTAACTGGTACCTCTGCTTCCAGAACTGAGCCTACAATTCATCCTCAGACAGCATCCACGGTGATGAGCCTTTATGTCTAGAACCCTTCAATGACTCTCCCTCGTTCATACCCCAAAGTTGCTACTGGGGTTTTGGGGCAGGAGGCTAATCCAAACTATAAGTGGGGTTTGTTGGGCCCACAAGGGGCCTTGTAAAAAAACTTTGAATTAGTTGACATAATAAAAATATGGATTTTGGCTTCACATTTTTTTTTAAAAAAAGTGGCTACCCTGCAGCATCCACCAGCTGGAGACGAATTACAGCTGCCATCTTCAGCAGGGCCGTGTATCTGCAGTCTACCACCTCCCCATGAGGCCCCCCGTCCCAGACCCAGCTCACCTCCCTCACTGATGTGACCTGCCTCAGCCCCCACAGGGCCTTAATTTTAGATCCCTGGCCTCAGGCTCAAGGTCAAATTCACACACAGAAGGCTACGGTGGCCCAAGTCCCCTCGAACACTTCTGCCTTCAATCAGCAGAAACACCAAGAGTTTCTGCACGCTGCTTCTCTCCTCCCCTCATTCTTTACCAAGGTAACGTCTTTGCAGACCCGGCCAGGCACCAACTCCAGAAAGTGGGGCTAGGTGACTCCCTCAGTGCTCCAGTAATACCCCTAGAATGCCACTGTGTGTGTAATTACTACTCACAGATCTGCTGTTCCTACTACTTTGTTATTTATGTATGTATGTATGTATGTATGTATGTATTTATTTGGTGGGAAGAGGTAATTGGGTTTATTTATCTATTCTTAGAGGATGCTGTCCCTACTACTGCATATGCTTCTTGAGAGAGGGCACTGTGTCTAAAACTCATCCTTGCAACAGCAGTGGCCAGTGCAGTACAGGGCTCATGGCAGGCACTCAAACTGGTGCCCTTACAGTCAGAACCATTTCTTGATAGATTTGCGGTACAAATGAAAGAAAACTCCACTTTCCTGTTCTGAAGTGCTGACAACTTGAAATGGGAAAAAAAATCAGCCTACTCTTTGCAAAGAGGAGCTTCATGGACTGCTACTGGTCTGAGTCACATAGGACTGCAGATTACGCAGGACTCAAAGACAAATCTCTCTCCTTCATGCAGGAAGCAAAGTCATTTTCTCTCCATGGCCTTTGGCGTCACACCATCCGAAGTCTACTTGGCAAAGATCTTTTCATATATACAAGTAATCTGTATGCAGCCGATTTGCTTCCAATTTATTCCGGCTTAGTTTATGCTATTGCTCATTCACTACAGAAGCAGCATGAGAGATCTTAAGTGTGGTTCTCTGAGTTCTGCTTTTTGCCATTTAGAGAAGTTCAATAATGGAGATATGCAGGCTCTAACACTGGTGTACAAAATAGGGCACAAACGCAGGAGAATCCTGAGAGAAATGGTTGCACTGGGTCTTAAAGATTCAGAGAGATACCTGCTCTCTTTCTTCCATGTAGCTTTCCTGTTGTAGGCAGAATGCGTAGCCTCTGGCACTATTTTCTTTTCTTGATTTTGAGAAAATCAAAATGTAAGTTCTGCCCCTTAGAATTCGGACATCGATTCCATACATGCAGAAAATACTCATCACGAACAGAGCTGGATGAATCATTTGACTCCAGAAACGCAAGAGATAACGCCTCTTCGGCTTCCTGTCCCTCTTTAGCAAATCTTTCCAAATTTCTACCCCGGCATTCCTCCCACATCAGTTCATGTAACTACTGGATGCCAAGTTCTCAAATGGCCTGCCCTGGAAAGGAAGTTTCCAGGCACTCATGCCTCCAGACTAGCCTTGCAAACATCCCTTAATTATACATCCCGCCCCATTTAAACATACACACACACACACACACACACACACACACACTCCCGGAACTGTGACAGGAGCCCTGGAGAAGTTCAGGAACCCAAGATGACGGAAAGAGGGGTGGGGTGACTACTGCAAGTTCCCTTCTCATTTAAAGGAAAAAAGAAAAGAAAAAAAAGAAAGCGGCACAAGCGCTTTCTAAATTTATGCGGAAACTGAAGCCCTGGAGTGTCTACGCTGTGGCCTCACAGATGTGGCCTTGTGGCTGCACCCGGGCGGAGGAAGGGTCAAATCCAAAGATGCCGC